CCCATTCTTGTCCAATTTAGTTCACTGATTCCCAAGTTGTTGAGGTTCAATCTTGGCCACCTCATGCTTAACCACACTCAACTTACCTTGATTGATAGATCTTACGTTCCAGGTTCCTATACAATATTGTTCTTTACAGCATCGGACTTCTCTTTCATCAACATACATATCCACAGATGAACGTCCTTTCGGCGTTAGCCCAGCTGCTTCACTCTTTTTGCAGTTATTTGCAATTGCCCTCCACCAGTAGTAAAATTCATTTCTTTAAACTACCGGTTTTGTGGGCGTGGTGTGGCTTGGTGGGCATGGCAGGGAAAGGATACTGCAAAATCTCCATTCCCATCCCACTCTGGGGCCAGCCAGATGTGGCATTTGCTGGTTCTCTGAACTACTCAAAATTTCCACTACCGTGTTTCCCCGAAAGTAAGACAGGGTCTTATTTTCTTTTGACCCCTGAAATAAGCACTTGGCCTTATTTTCAGGAAGGTCTTTTTTTTTTTTGAGGTGGCAGCGAGCCTAGTCCCCTCATGGCTGCTGTTGTGTTGCAATATTTTTGGGGAGGGCTTATTTTAGCACATGCGGTCAAAAGCCCAATTGGGCTTATCATCTGGGAAGGTCTTACTTTCAGGGAAACAGGGTACCGGTTCTCCAGAACCTGTCAGAACCTGCTGGATTTCACCCCTGCCCTCCACTCTTCCCCACTAGCGTATTGGATAACTTCCAACCTGAGAGACTCATCTTTCAGCATCTTTTAGCCTTTGGGTACTCTCCATGGGGTTTCTTGGTAAGGGATTCTGGAGTCTCCAGTGGACAAAGTTTGGGAAGAACTCTCCACTATGACTTGTCTGTCTTGGGTGACCCTGCACAACTTAACTCACATCTTTCAGCTGCACAATCCCCTTCATCGCAACAAGGCGGTGATCTATGAAGGGGAACTGCCTGAATACCGTGTGCCAAATCTTGCAACTACTTTCTCCCGTTCAGCGGCATAAATAGGACGTTTCCTCCTATTTCAGTTTTTGCAGGAGGCAGAAATTTCAAAATGTGAGAAATTAGTCGTTTGAGTGCCACTGCTGAAATAGTACAACTCCTAGGCATTGCGAGGGCTGGGCATGTTTTGACAATATCACACAAATGACACGAGTTATATCATGTCCAATGATGCACATGACATCAAGAGACCTGTTTTAGAGGAATGCATAGAATGTAGGTCATAGACATAACAACCAGGAATATCAGCGTAAATTGGGTAAAACAATAATAACCAATGAAAGAGTTTTGTTTAAATTGTGCAAATCACAGAATTGAAATTGCCTGGAATATATTTTGATTTATTGTAGTGTGAGGAATAAGAGACCTGACCGTTACGTTTAATCATGTTACAGAGACAGATCTGTGGGGCAATACAATATTGCAATTCAATCTTAAGTAACAGTTTCAGCAAATAAAACTTATCTAGCAAATGTTCATAGAAACACGTTGTTTTCTGTACATATCCACTGGGTTTTCTTCCAGATTTAACACTTTAGAAACTATAGGTTTAAAATAAACCAACAATCTACTTTAATTGTGAACATTGTCCGAGACCTTTGTGAAAAGCTTGTGTTTATGAAGGAATTTGTATTAGATCATGGTTTGTATTACTCACTGTACTTTGTAAGGGTTTATTTCCCTTTGGGAATTGTGTGTTTTTAATGAGCAGTTTTATGCTTCTAGTTTGTGTATGTCGTAACTGATGTGTTGTTTTTTTTTGACTCTCTGCAAGGAATAGATTGATATTTGATAGATAATAACTGTCTAAATTTTTCATATTGCCTACAATATTTGCATATGTTAATAAACCCATACTGTATTAGAACAGTTTACTTATGGTGATAATAAAATAAAATTAATTTGCTCTTTATAAGCTGAAAGCTGGCCTTAACTTTAGTGTTGCATTTCAAACATGGATTTTCATCCCACATCATTTGCTGTCCTATTTTTGGCAAGTATAATCATCAACCAAGCCATCAAAAGCACCACCAGAAGGTCAGAATCAGACTCCAAAGTTCAAGGACTTTTACATACATTTGGTGGAAATTATCCAATTGCAAGGCAGTGGTGAACATTAAGCTTCAAGAGGATATGTTCTAAAATCAGTGTTGGGATTCAATTTTTTTTTACTACTGGTTCTGTGGGCGTGGCTTGGTGGGCATGGCATGGCTTGGTGAGCATGGCAGGGGAAGGATACTGCAAAATCCCCATTCCCTCCCCACTCCTGGGGGAAGGATACTGCAAAATCTCCATTCCCTCCCCACTCCTGGGGGAAGGATACTGCAAAATCTCCATTCCCTCCCCACTCCTGGGGGAAGGATACTGCAAAATCCCCATTCCCTCCCCACTCCTGGGGGAAGGATACTGCAAAATCCCCATTCCCTCTCCACTCCTGGGGAAAGGATACTGCAAAATCCCCATTCCCTCTCCACTCCTGGGGGAAGGATACTACAAAATCCCCATTCCCTCTCCACTCCTGGGGGAAGGATACTACAAAATCCCCATTCCCTCTTCACTCCTGGGGGAAGGATACTGCAAAATCCCCATTCCCTCCCCACTCCTGGGGGAAGGATGCTGCAAAATCCCCATTCCCACCGCACTCCTGGGGGAAGGATACTGCAAAATCTCCATTCACTCCGCACTCCTGGGGGAAGGATACTGCAAAATCCCCATTCCCTCCCCACTCCTGGGGGAAGGATGCTGCAAAATCCCCATTCCC